TCATATTTGCATCATATTTGCATCATATATATTAATGCTCTGAACTGTTTACATTTGATCACTGCTGCACTTTAAGAAACGGAAATGTCATGAAAGCTGTACAAAACAAAATTTCCTTTTGTATACAGTGTGTATACAAAATGACATAAAACGTTTAAAATCTAAGTCTAGAGCCTAAAAATAACCTTAAAACAAATAAAGAACGTACGTACTTCCTTTTGTAAGAGCAGTGTGAGAAAACATTTATCAGGCCTTTTCTAATCCTCTATACAACAAGATCGGGGATAAAAGTAGAGCTGACACAATTAGTTGGACTAATTGATTATTGAAATAATTGTCAAATAACTAAACTCTAAAACATGCCTTTTTGCTGGAGGAGCGACCCATTTTTGTCATGTTCGCTGCCCTGATAGCTGAGCTAATTGCTAACCTCACTCACCTGCGAACCCTCCCCGCTCACTAATTATCATTCAATCCTTCTGCTTTATGTACGGCTCAGCCCAGCTATCAGGGCCAGAACATTATGTGTGTTTGTTTTTAACTTTAGTCGCTGAATTCCAGGGTTCATGTTGCCGTTCTGGGAGGCCTGTATTTGTCATGTCTTGTTGTTTGTGACCTCGCTTTTTCCACTTTTAAACTCCTAACTGTCTGTGTCGCCTGAGTGCTGGGTCTCTCTTCCCCGTTACATGACAACTTATTGCAGTAATTATACCAAAATTGTTAAAATTATATACAAATATTTTGCAAATAAGAGAAAAAATCTAGTTGGTCATAAACACACATTATCCAGAACTCCTTAAGAGGTTAATGTTTTTGTTTCACCAGGGTTACATTCTACGGAGCCCCTAAAGGGACATGGAGGGGAAAAAAAGAACTTTTGCGAGAAAAGTATTGCGAGATCTCGCAAAAATAAACTTTTGCGAGATCCTGCAATACTTTTGCGAGATCTCGCAAAAGTATTGCGGGATCTCGCAAAAGTTTATTTTTTGCAAGTTCTCGCAAAAGTTTCGTGGGATCTCGCAAAAGTTTATTTTTTGCAAGTTCTCGCAAAAG